GATGGTCGAGGTGTGGGTCCCCCGAAATCCTCACGGAGAACCACGTCGGACTTGTAGAGCGAAAGTTGCCACCGAGACTCCTCGACACACACGATGGAAAAACTGCGGACGCGGTTGCGAAAGGGGAGTCTTTTTTTTTAAAATAATACTTATGTAAAAGAAAGAATTTTTAATTATTTAATAAACGGCATCAATTAAACTATAGTTACATAATCCCTTTCGGTCTTTTTAACACACAACTGTTCAAAAAGAATATCCTATATTACTAAAAATTTAAGTAAAATGATTATAGTCACTTTCTAAAACGTAATAAGAAGATAATCAATTAGCTTTCCAAAAAAAATCTTGTTAGACAGATGAAGTCAAACAAATAGCTTACTAGATATAAAAAAAAAAGAGCCTATCATGATGATAAGCTCTTTTTACGTTTTCAATTGGTTTATTGACTTATTTTACAGAATCAACTACTGCTTTAAAAGCTTCAGGGTGATTCATAGCAAGGTCTGCTAATACTTTTCTATTAAGACCTACTTCTTTTTGGTTTAATGCAAAAATAAATTTAGAATATGACATTCCATATTGTCTAGTAGCTGCATTAATCCTGATGATCCAAAGTCTTCTGAAAGCTCTTTTTTTGTTTCTTCTGTCTCTGAATGCATAGGTATATGCTTTTTCCAAAGCATTTTTTGCTACTGTGTAAACTTTACTTCTTGCTCCGAAGTAACCTCTAGCTGCTTTAAGAATTTTTTTTCTTCTTGTTCTTGATGCAACTGAATTAACTGATCTAGGCATAACTATTGTGTTTTAGTGCAATACAGGGACTCTTAAAAGGAATTCTTTTTTCCTGTACTCTCGTTAAAAAATAAATTAAAATATTACAGACAAAGCAATCTTTTGATTTTTGCAGAATCTGCTACGCTAACAAGTGTAGACCCTAATAATCTGGTCTTTGCTTTGTTAGACTTTTTTCTCATCAAGTGGCGTGCATTTGCTTGAAATCTTTTCACTTTACCTGTTCCAGTAAGTGTGAATCTTTTCTTTGCACTTGAATGCGTTTTCATTTTAGGCATAACTACTTCTTTTAGGGCTGCAAAGGTAAGCAAAGGATTTAATATTACATATATAGTAACATCTTTTTTTCTTGCCGATGCAACATTTTGTTTAATATGGATAGATAAGTAGACAGACTTCACAAATTTATCGAAAAATAAATTCTAACATCCTGTAAAATCTAGTGTTCTAACTATTGGACTTTCTTTTTCTTTGGTGAGATCATAACGATCATACGCTTTCCTTCTAACTTTGGAAGTTCTTCAGCAGCACCCAACTCTTCGAGTTCTTTTAGAAATCTCAACAAAATTAATTCACCACGATCTTTAAAGACGATTGCTCTACCTTTAAACTGAACGTATGCTTTTATTTTATCTCCATCTTCTAGAAACTTAATGGCATGCTTTACCTTAAAGTCAAAATCGTGATCATCGGTGTTAGGACCGAATCTGATTTCTTTTATTACGGTTTTAGCTGTTTTAGCTTTTAATTCTTTTTCTTTTTTCTTTCTATCATAGATAAACTTCTTATAATCTATGACTTTACAAACTGGTGGATCTGCATTTGGACTAATCTCCACTAAATCTAGCTCTAATGACTCTGCCCAGCCTAATACTTGGTAAGTACTAAAAACGCCAGGCTCAATAACCTTATTAGCTGCTTCTGATAATTCTTCTAAATTGTCGCCGACCAATCTGATTCGCGGGACAGTGATCTCTCTATTCAGTCTGTAATTATACTTGTCATCCTGAACTTTAGATTGTGGTTGTACTCTACCTTTTGCCAAATGTTTTTTGTTTTTGTTTAATTATTCTGCAAATATAAATATAAAAGTGCATTAATTCTCTCAATTAATGCACTTTACTTATCAATATTTCTTATTTAATGTCTTCATGTGTGTTTGCAGAAGCGAATAGTACAATTTTTATACCATTTTTCTCCTCATTTATCTCAGCCAAAAGCTTACTTCCTTTTTCAGGATTTTCGCCAAGTATAAACTCTGCAAGAGGATCTTCTACATATTTCTGTATTGCCCTATTAAGAGGTCTAGCACCAAATTGCGGGTCAAAACCTTTTTCAGCAACAAATTTCTTTGCCTCATCGGACATGACCAATTCGTAATCCAAGTTATTCATACGTTTGAATAAATGCTTAAGGTTGATCTCTATAATTTTGAAAATATCTTCTTGCTCCAAACTATTGAATATAACTACATCGTCTATTCTATTCAAAAATTCT